ACACAAACACCATAGTCGATCTTATCTCCCTTCTTCTTCCTCTTACTACACAAACACCATAATCGATCTCATCTCTCTCTGGTGATCCATAAAATCAACTGTCAATCACTTTGTCTTATCTCGTTGCCATAGGAAAAAATCTTCAGCCATAGATTAAGGTTGTGTTTCTTCTCCTCTTTTAAACCCTCCATTGTCGTCCCATCTTCTGGTTAAACTGAACCGCCGCTGGAGATTGATATAGTTAACTATATTCAGAAATCAAGTCAGTATGTTTCTGATAATAGTTAACTATGTATGTTATTTTTTTCATTATACAAACTATAGTAGTTAACTATTTATCTGATAATAGTTAAATATGTATGTGTTTTTTTTCACTATGCAAATTATAATAGCTAACTACATTTTGAACATATAACTATGTTTGTTTAAATAAGTAACTATTATAACAACATTTTCATGTAGTCAACTATGTTATGAAATACGTAGAGTAGATAAGTATACTTTAAAAATAGTTAACTATGCTTTTAAATTATAACTATTTTCTGAATATAGTTAACTATGTTTTAGATAGTTATAAAATAGTGAGGTAGTTAACTATTTTTATAGATCAACTATGTTATTAAATAGTTAATTATGTAGTTTCGAAAATAGTTAACCATGTTATTAAATAGTTAACTATTATTTTTGTCATTTTCTTTTTTACCATTGTTTTTCTGACTTAATTTATTTTCTTTGCACAGTAGATATATTTTTTCACTGATAAAGACCAAAGATGAGAGTAATAGATTTTTTTAGGAATTTTTTCATATTTAGCTTAATTACATATGTAGGAGTAGTTTTGTCCTATATTTATTTCTCTCTGCTACTTACCTAATTTTTTTTCTTAACATGTTATTTACCTAATCTTCTCCCCCAAAAGTGTTATTCAACTATTAACCCTAAAAAAATTGAGATGACAAAAAATAAACAAATATATTGTAACATCGTTAACTATTTTTGATACTACCTATTCAATTATCTTATAACATAGTTAACTACATTACATTATTTGTAACTAAGTAAAAACATAGTTAACTATTTTCACAACATAGCTATTTACTCTACTGATTTCATCACATAGTTGACTACATGAAATGTTGTTGTAATAGTTACTTATTTAAAAAAAATTAGTTAACTACGTTGAGAACATAGTTACTTATTATAGTTTCATAATTAAAAAAATAACATTCATAGTTAACTATTATCAAAAACATAATTACCTACTATTTTTAAAAATAAAATACATAGTTAACTATTATCAGAAACGTGGTTACCCATTATATGAAAAATAACATACATAGTTAACTATTGTCAGAAACATAGTTAACTATTGTCAGAAACATAGTTAACTATTGTCAGAAACATAGTTACCTATAATATTGATTTTCAAACATAATTAACTATGTCGATCTTCAACGGTGATTCAGATTACCTAAGAGATGGATGACCGTGGGGGAGGTTAACAAAGTAGAAGAAACACGATCTTAATCCACGATTGAAGAACTCGATCTATGGCAACGAGTTAACACATAGTAATTGAGAGAAATT